CGGGCGGCCAGGGCCGCCCCGTGGCCCAGCAGCACCCGGGCGGCCTCCGCGCTGCCGCTCTCGCAGGCCACGACCAGCGCCGTCCTGGGCACACGGGGACACGGTGGCACCSCGTCCCCATGCAGCTTCCCCTAGGACCCCCTGGGGCCACTTCACCCTGCCCGGCCCCGACCCGCTCGTGGCTACGTCCTGGGGGCTCTTTGCAAGGTGCAGGGGCTGGAGGGTCCCGGTGCCACCCTGTCCCCCCYCCCAGCGTGTCCCCAAAGCCCCCGGGGCGCCGCTCACTTCATGTCCTGGTCGGCCAGCTCGGGGTCGGCCCCTCTCTGCAGCAGCTGGGCGCAGATGGCAGCGTGGTTGCCCCTCGCGGCCGCCATCAGGGGTGTCTGTCCCTTCTGGGGGGGACACGGGGGTCAGCGCCGTGTCACCCCCACCCCCGCTGTCCCCCCGCTGTCCCCCGCCTCACCCCGTCAGTCGCGTCCAGCCTGGCCCCGTGGTCACAGAGGAGCAGGACGCTGGAGGCGCAGCCTGATGATGCTGCGGGGGACACGGGGGTCAGCGCGGGGTCCCCCAATGTCACCCTGTCTCCCCATGGCACTGCTGGGGACACAGCCCNGATGCTGCGGGGGACACGGGGGTCAGCGCGGGGTCCCCCAATGTCACCCTGTCTCCCCATGGCACTGCTGGGGACACAGCCCAATGATGCTGCGGGGGACATGGGCGTCAGTGTGGGGTCTCCCACTGTCACCCTATCCCCCCGGATCGACTCTGGGGACACAGCCCGACGACGCTGCGGGGGACACGGGGGTCAGTGCGGGGTCCCAGTGTCACCCCATCCCCCTGTGGCACCAGTGGGGTCACAGCTTGATGATGCTGCAGGGGACAGGGGATGTCAGTGCAGGGTCCCAATGTCACCCTGTCCCCCCGGATCAACTCTGGGGGTGCAGCCTGACGATGCTGCTGGGGACACGGGGGTCAGCGTGGGGTCCCAGCGTCCCCCTGCCCCCCCGGCGCCGCTCACCGGCCCAGTGCAGCGGGGTCCGGCCCTGCCGGTCCTCGAGGCTCTCGCTGGCTCCATACTGTGGGGGAAGCAGGGGGGACGGGCCCCCTCCCCAGCTGGGAGAGGGGCCCAAGCGTCCTGCCCCCCCCCCCCAAGCCTTTTCCCCAGGGGCTGCCCTGTCGCTGGGCCCAGCTCTGGCTGTGTCACCATCCCCATGGCCCCTTCCTGTCCCCATCCTCTCCCACGTCCCCATCCTTGTCTGTGCTCCCTTCCCTGTCCCCATCCCTGTCCCCATCTCTATCCCCATCCCCATCCCTGTCCCCTTCCCTGTCTGCTTCCCTTTCCCCATCTCTCCACCTCTCTGTCCCCATCCCTGTTCACATCCCTGTCCTGATCCTCTTCCATGTCCCATCCGCATCCTTGTCCCTGTCCCCATCCCTGTCCCAGTCTCTACCCCTATCCCACCCCCATCCTTGTCCCTGCCCCCATGCCCCCCCACGTCCCCATTCCTGTCCCCATCCCCTCCGGGAGGGACCGGCACCTGCAGCAGGACCTTGACGCACTGGGGCTGGCAGGCGATGGTGGCCAGGTGCAGAGCGGTGCTGCCTGTGGGGCAGCGCCGTGGGGCCGGGCTGGGGGGCACAAGGACCCCCGCACCCGTCCCACCTACCGGCCTCGTCCCTCTCGTCRACGGGGACCCCGCGGGCCAGCAGCAGGGTCAGACAGGCCGTGAGCCCCTTGGAGGCGGCCACGTGAAACCTGCGGGGACAGCGGTGGGTGCCGGGATGGCAGCGCCCGGCACCCGCCCGGACCCGCGCCCCGGGCCCCGTGCGGGCGCTCACGTACGCGGAGTGGCCGGCGCCGTCGAGCTTGGCGGGCCGGGCGGTCCGGCGTGCGGCCAGCGCGGCCACGCGGGCCACGTCGCCCCTCTCCACGGCCGCCAGCAGCTTCTGGTCCTGCTTGGTCCAGCGCTGCCTGCGGGGACACCCGCGGCCCCCGCGCTGCCGAGACTGTGCCACCCCCGCCCCGGGCAGCGCGGGACACGGGGACACCCCTATGGACAGGGACACCCCTATGGACAGGGGCACCCACGGCCCCAGCGCTGCCGAGACTGTGCCACCCCCGCCCCGGGCAGCGCGGGACACAGGGACACCCCTATGGACAGGGACACCCCTATGGACAGGGGCACCCGCAGCCTCCGCGCTGCCAAGACAGCGCCGCCCCCGTCCCGGGCAGCCCGGGGAGAACCGGGACACAGGCACACCCAGGGAAACCCCTATGGCAGGGGAACTATGGCACTGGGACACCCTATTGCATGGGGACACCCCTATGGCACAGGGATCCCTCCATGGCACAGGGACACCCTCATGATGYGGGGACACCTCCTATGGCCCACGGACACCCCCATGACATGAGGACACCCCTGTACGGCACAGGGAGCCCCCCATGGCACAGGGACACCCCCATGACATGGGAACCCCCTCACTGCATGGGGATCCCTGGTGCCAGAGCTCGCACAGGCRCCTGCGATGGCTCAAGGTGCTGAGTCAGCACCGTGCCTCAGTTTCCCTCCCGGAGATGGGAGTGAGGCTGGATCAGCCCCCGGCACAGCTGGGAAAGCAGCGGGAAGGGGGGAAGCCGGAGCGTATCCCCCACCCGGCTGCTCCATGGGGCTGGGATGCGCATCCCAGTGCCAGAGGGGCTTTCCCAGCTCCGGAGCAGCCGCGGACCCCCAGGCRCCAGGGACAGGATCCTGATCGGGACTCACCGTGGGCCCCGCGCTGGARCACGAGAACATCCTCCTCATGCCGGCGGCTGCGGCGCGAGGCCCGGCTGGCAGTGCCGGCGGTGCTGGGTGCAGCGGTACTGGGTGCTGGTGGYGCCGGGTGCGGCGGTCCCGGGTGCCGGCAGTGCCAGGTGTGGCGGTGCCAGCGGTACCGGGTGCGGCGGCGCTGGGTGCTCGGCGCCGCCCCACGCTCCGGTGGCCGCCAAGCCCCAGCTTGTCCCGCGCTGGGAAGGGAGCGCCCAGCGCCCGCGGGCAGCCAYGGAGCACCCGACCTGCCTCCCCGGAGCCACCGTGGGGAACCCGGCACYGGGCGCCGGACCCTCCAGACCCCCRTCCTYCCCATSCGGGGGGTCCTGCCCGGCCRCGGGAGATCCRGCTTATCCGCTGAGAACGGARCCGCTCAGCGCATGTGGCGGGGCTGCTCGTGGGGAGCGTGGCTGAGACCCGACCTGCTCAGTGCACGGCTGAGGCCAGACCAACTCAGCGCACAGCTGAGAGCCGACCCGCTCAGTGCATGGCTGAGACCTCAGTGCATGGCTGAGTCCTAACCCACGGAGCGCACAGCTGAGACCCGATCCACTTGGCGCATGGCTGAGCCCTGACCCACTCGGTGCACAATGAAGCCCAGACCAACTCGGTGCACAGCGGAGCCCTGACTGGCTCAGTGCACGGCTGAGACCCAACCCGTTCAGTGCATGGATGACACCCAACCCGCTCAGTGCACGACCGAGCCCCAACCCACTTGGTGCATGGATGACATTCAACCCGCCTGGTGCACAACTGAGCCCCGACCTGCTCAGTGCATGGATGAATGGGTGGCACCCAACTGAGCCCCGACCTGCTCAGTGCATGGATGAATGGGTGGCACCCAACTGAGCCCCAACCTGCTCAGTGCATGGATGAATGGGTGGCACCCAACCTGCTCAGTGCATGGCTGAGCCCCAGCCCATCGGGTGGCCAGCTGAGCCCCGAGGCGCTCAGTGCAGAGGTAGGTGCTGAGCACCCCGGCGCCCCAGGCACCCACGCTCACAGCCCGGATCCAAACTCATCCATTTAATTATTTGCTTCTGGCTTTTGTGGCTTTTTTTCAGCTCTGCCCTTTCCTTTTGTACAGTGAAACCGGGGGACGCAGCTGCCCCCCAAAGCAGCACCCGCAGGCAGCAAATGCCCCCCCTGCGACGTCCTGCCCCGGCAGCGGGGCCGGGGTCCCGCGCTGGGACACGCTGGGTGCTCCGGGACCCCTGTCCCCGTGGGGGTCATAGGGAACGCTGCCACCCCCTCGGGGACAACGGGGGGCAGGACCGGGCTGCAGCCCCCCAGCTGCCCCCCCAATGCCTCCTCCCGCTCCACCAAGACTAAATAAATAAATTAACCTGAGCGGAGGGCGGCATCGGCCCCGAAACGCCGCGTCCCCCCGTCCTGCCATGGCAAGGCGGGGACGGTGACATCCAGATGTGCCCAGGCGGGAATATCCCATGGGAATAGCAGCTCCCGCCCCGCTGCCCCCGCCCCTCCCCACACCCCGCGTCCGGACCCGGCTGCTCCAGGGGGGTYGAGCCGGTCCCTAAGTGTCCGGGGAGCCGCCGTCTCCCTCCTTCAGCTCCTGGCTGCTCTCCACCTCCTCGGGAATGTCTTGCATCCGCAGGAAATCTGCAGGGAAGCGGCAGCGCTCTCAGGGAGCGGGCCCAGGCGTCCGGGCTCCCCCCTCACCCATCCCACCCATAAACACCCCGGGGATGGGGGCTGAATGGACCCACCGCGGGGGCTGGCGGGCGGGGAGCGCCGGGCGGGCAGAGCGTCGTCCTCCAGCAGCGCGTCGAGCGCGTCGCCGCCGTCGCGCAGGCGCTCGGGCTCGCCCCGGTACTCGAGGGGCTCGCGGGGGCACGAGGCGAAGGCGGGATGGAAGGAGAGCCCCGCGGCGGCGCCGGGGCCCAGCTGCGGG